AAAGCACATGCTTTGCATGCAGGAGGCCTCCTGTTTCACTCTGGCATAAAAAATTGACCTCAGGTAATCAGGTGTTGGAACAAACACTCCTGGCTGCTGTAGGCCCTGGAGAACACTGAACTAGATGAAGAGGTCATTTCGGGGGGGATCGTGGGGGATCGCAGTTCCCCCGGGTGAGGTACAGGGGCGGGGCACATGACAAAGCCCCGCCCCCTGCTTCCGGCCACCCCGCTTCCGGCCCTCATTCAGCCAGGAGGAGGCAGGAGAAGAGGGAGGGTAAGTTGCTTCCTCCCTGCCTCTCCCCACCCCTGCCTGAGAAGCCCCGCCCCCTGCTTCCGGCCGCCCCGCTTCCAACCCTCATTCAGCCAGGAGGAGGCAGGAGAAGAGGGAGGGTAAGTTGCTTCCTCCCTGCCTCTCCCCACCCCTGCCTGCCTCGGGCCAGGGAGGGCCTTCGCGGGGCTTCCTTGCACTCCCACCGGCCTTGCAGGTCCACCGCCGGGGCCCTCATGGGGCTCGGCAGTGGAGCTGCAAGGCTGGCAGCAGCGGCCGGGACCGTTGGGGGCGGGGTGTGTGGCCTTATGACACACTTCCGATGATGTCAGGGGGTGTGGCCTTATGACACACTTCCGGTGATGTCAGGGGGTGTGGCATATGCTAATGAGTTATGCTAATGAGTTCCCCTAGCTCTTTTTCTACGAAACGACCCCTGACATCTTACAACCACAGGTTATGAGGGGGCTTATAAATACAACAAAAAAATTACTAAAAGATACTAAATTACCATTATTTTGGTAACCTTGTTCATGAGCACATGAAGCTGCCCTGTACTGAATCAGAGCACTGGACTCTAGCAGGATCAGTATTGTCTCCTCAGATTGGCAGTGGCTTTCTAGGATTTCAGGAAGAAGTCTTTCACGTCACCCACTGCCTGATCCTTTTTGCTGGAGACGCCAGGGATTGAACCGATTGGATTTTTTAAACGTGATGTAGCAAATCCAGAGCTGTTGCTCATATTGAACTCAGAGGACTTTTCATTTGGCCCAACAATCACTCACCCACTGAGCCACCGCCCCCTTCAGTCTCTTTTCCATTCCAGCATTTAAAAAATTTGCTACTGAAGGTTTGCCTTCAGCATTTATTATTTTCCTCTCCTCATCTCTCTCATCTATCTCCACAAGAAACAATCATTTTGATGAGCCTGCCCCTCACCAAAAAAAAGAACCTGCTGGCTTCTTCTTGTACAATTAATTCAACAAAACTAGTCCCATGAAGGAATACTAATGCTCAGGGCATTTTTTGTAGAAAAAGCCCAGCAGAAACTCATTAGCATAATAGGCCATACCCAACAGCAGGAACTCATTAGCATATTAGGCCACACCCTGACAGCACCACTCATTAGCATATTAGGATATTAGCATTAGCATATTCATTAGCATATTCCTCATCAAAGGCTCCTAAGTAAGCTCAAAAATCATGGGATAGAAGGACAAGTCCTTTTATGGATCAAAAACTGGCTAGTTCATAGAAAACAGAGAGTGAGTGTAGGTGGGCAATTTTCTCAGTGGAGGGTGGTAAGCAGTGGGGTACCGCAGGGATCAGTACTTGGTCCACTGCTTTTTAACTTGTTCATTAATGATTTGGAGATGGGAGTAAGCAGTGAAGTGGCTAAATTTGCGGATGATACAAAGTTGTTCAGGGTGGTGAAAACCAGTGAGGATTGTGAGGCACTCCAAGGGGATCTGTCAAGGATGGGCGAGTGGGCGTCAACATGGCAAATGGGGTTCAATGTGGCCAAGTGCAAGGTGATGCACATTGGAGCCAAAAATCCTAAATATAAATACACATTGATGGGGTCTGAACTGGCAGAGACTGAGCAAGAGAGAGATCTTGGAGTTGTAGTGGATAACTCACTGAAAATGTCGAGACAGTGTGTGACTGCAATAAAGAAGGCCAATGCTATGCTGGGGATTATTAGGAAGGGTATTGAAAACAGATCAGCCAATATAATAATGCCCCTATATAAATCAATGGTGAGACCTCATTTGGAATACTGTGTGCAGTTCTGGGCACCACACCTTAAAAGGATATTATAGCTTTGGAAAAAGTGCAGAAAAGGGCAACTCGAATGATAAAAGGGTTGGAACACTTTCCCTATGAGGAAAGGTTAAAGCGCTTAGGGCTCTTTAGCTTGGAGAAAAGACGACTGAGGGGTGACATGATCGAGGTTTATAAGATTATGCATGGGAAAGAGCAGGTAAAGAAAGAGGTACTTTTCTCCCTTTCTCACAATACAAGAACTCGTGGGCACTCCATGAAACTGCAGAGCGGTCGGGTTAGAACGGATAAAAGGAAGTACTTCTTCACCCAAAGAGTGATTAACACATGGAATTCACTGCCACAGGAAGTGGTGGGTGCTACAAGCATGGACGGATTCAAAAGGGAATTAGATAAGCATATGGAGCAGAGGTCCATCAGTGGCTATTAGCCACAAGGTATAGCTAGGGGCTCTGGGGCAAGTGATGCTCTGTCTTCTTGGTGCTTGGGGGGGTCAACAGTGGGAGGGCTTCTAATGTCCTGGCCCCACTGCTGGACCTCCTGATGGCACTGGTATTTCTGGCCACTGTGTGACACAGAGTGTTGGATGGGCCTTTGGCCTGATCCAACATTGGCGTCTCTTATATTCTTATGTTCTTAGGCCGCACCCCCATGTTACCAGAAGTGTGGTCACCCAGCCACACCCACCTTTTGATTCTTATTCTGTTTACCTTATTTGTTTACCTTATTTGTTGTCAAAACCCAGGGCTTTTTTGTAGCAGGAACTTCTTTGCATGTTAGGCCACACACCCCTAATGTAGCCAATCCTAATGAGTTTCTGCTGTTGGGTGTGGCCTATTATGCTAATGAGTTCCTGCTGGGCATGGCCAACTCGGGAGCCAGCCGGAACTCTGTTCCTGTGCGTTCCTGCCCAAAAATAGCCCTGCTAATGCTGTTATTTGCCCATGTCTCCCCCACCAGTGGTTTCAGATCAGAAAGGGGGAGGGTGCAGAAGACCCATTCATGCCACACTGGTCCTGACCAGAATTGGGCCCCATGGTGCAGTTAAAGGGAATTCACTCCTACAAAGAGAAAAGACATACAGAGAGGTTAGCCAGCAGAGGCAGTGCACAGGAGATAAACACAGTAGGTAGATGCCTCTGGACATGAGCTAATCAAAATCAAACCCCAATTCAAGTTAAAAAATAAAACAAATTAATTGGTACACAGTTCCCCCCCCCCCAAATAATAGTTCCCCACACCGCCCTTCTGGCAACAGGGTTAGTAATTTTAAAAATGCAAGTATTCTCTTTTTTTGGGGGGGGGGGTTTGGTTGAGAGCGCTACTCGTGTATGAACGTACACATATATTTTCTCTTTCATATGCAATGCACTAATTCCTTGCTATGGTACCAAGGTGGGAGTTCAGTCAGTAGATTGAAGGACATGACCAAGGTTCTAAGGTCCGTCAGTTTCTTGATATCTTCTGGGATGGATTTGATTGGGTTGTTTCGGAGCTTTAAGATTTGCAGTTTTTTTAGATCACACACCTATGGGAGGAAAACAGATAGAGAAAATGTTGTAAAATAGCTTATGACGCCTGTTACTGCAGGTACTTCTTTATCTTTTTTAACTTTAGGTAATCATCCAAAAAAACTAAGATCATGGCATCCGGCCCCATCATTCCTTGGCAAATAGAAGGGGAAGTCGTGGAAGTAGTGACAGACTTCACGTTCCTGGGATCCCAGATCACCGCAGACTGTGACAGCAGCCATGAAATTAAAAAGCGCCTGCTCCTTGGGAGGAAAGCGATGGCGAACCTAAACAGCATGATAAAAAGTAGAGACATCACCCTGCCAACAAAAGTCCGCATGGTCAAAGCAATGGTATTCCCAGTAGTCATGTATGGCTGCGAGAGTTGGACTATAAGGAAGGCCGAGCGCCACCATTTTCAGAATGGAATTCCCAGTGCACAGTTGATCAACTAGACCCCAAAACACTGCGTCAAATAGTTAGGACCATGTTTGTGCATATCAAAGCTCGAAAACACACCCATTGTCCTATTCTCACAAAATGGTGACTGCATATATTTCAGACGATTGTGCATAGCATGCTCTCCCTGTACATGAAGTGGGTGTGCCAAAAGCATAGTGATTGAATGGCGCTTCTCTCTGTGTTGCATGTGTCGTGTATGTGCTGGTTTCATATAGCACCAAAAAATTGGTTGCAGGGGAAATCTGAAAAATGGCAGGCCAATGACTGTGAAAGGCTGTCAACAAGAAATGCTCCAAAATGCTCAAGGGAGTCACTTCATCCCTCGGCAAGCCTCTTTCAGAAGAGTGTGACTTTCATTTAAGAGAACAATGTTAGAGTTTAGTTATTACTGTTTATTTCTAATATATGTATGTAATTATTTAGAATATTTCTGTGCTGCCTTTCCACAGAATCTGCCTGAAGTGGATTACAAAACAAAATATGGCGAAAACCTAAAGCAACGTAAACATTGCTAAAAATTAACAAGTGGTTCAAACCCAGCATGTCAAAGCCAGAGCATAAAACCAGCACAAAGTGTTTAGCATCTTAAAAATAAGGATAAGAGAACCATCAGGCACATACTCACCTCCGTAGGGAAGAGGCGCAGGTCATTAAATGACAGATTAAGGTACAACAAAAAGTCAGCCAAAGCTGAGAGGTCCGGAACTCTAGGCAGAAAATATGCCTGAACAAACAAAAATACATTTAGTTAATATTTTCAACAAATCAATTGTTATAAGAAGCAGACCTGATGGGGTGGGGAAGGAGGATATGAAAATCCGTGCAGCAAAGATTCCTTACCAAACCTACTCCTTTAATCTATTGATACTATGGGCTTTCCCTCATTCACACTTTCCTCATTTGTGTTCCTGTTGCTTCAGGGGTTTTTCTGTTCTGCATGTGTTTTGCTCCCTCTAGTGGTCGATTTGGTATTACATCACTTTATGTCCAGCATAAAAACCTGCAGCTTAAATCTGCAGGGAGATATGCCAGACATACTGTGATGTAATATTGAATCAACCACAAGAGGGAGCAAAAGACATGTCGAACAGATACCCCCCCCCCCCGCAGCAACAGGAATACACAAGCAAAGAAAATAAGAGTGCAGAAAAGCTTTATAGTGGGATAATTGCTGGATACTTACTTCCAGTGATAAAAATATAGAGGTCATTGAGATGGATCCAGTGATATGTCAACAGAAGGTGCTGATGGAAGCAGACCTTTCCCTTGTTCCTTTTGTCCTAGTAATCCTTTCCAATTCTCAGAAAGTTGATCCCCAGAGTCCTGGGGCCTCTGTGTCGATTAATAGCCCCATGGATCAGGGGGATGCACTTGGGAGTGGAAAGGGGATGAAATTGCCCTACTTTTTGATGGTGCATAGTAGAATGGTGCATAGTAGAAACTGGAAGTGTGACTTTGCTCCCTTCCCTCTCCTCAGTGCAGCCCGACTACATGGCTATTTGGGCCAAACAAGACATGACTACATGACTATTAGGGCCAAAGTAGACATAACATTTTACACATGTTCCCAAAGGAGACTGGCAGCCATATTGGAGCTGCAAGTCACTGATGGCAATTCTATGTAAAAGCACAGCAGTGTGCTAATTTGGATCGGGATCACGGCATGGGTGGAAAAGAGCTCCTGCCTTCCCCCCCCCCCCGGGCCATTTCCTGGAGCCAAAACAACCCGGGGGGATGTTATTTGACCCATCTAATGTCTTCATGTCCACTGAATGCTTACACATGCAGCCCTCCAATAGGGCAAAAAACACCTTTCCTAGTGCCATTTTGGGTCAGGAAAAAGGTGCAGGGCAGAGCGCATGAGTCCTTCTTCCTCCGCTAATGCCACTGCCCCATCCAAAGCTGGTCCCCCATGGCACTGCTCAACATACTTCCCATGGGAAACCTGCAACTGGCATATGGCTGCAAGACCCCATGGCAACCATGTGACAAATGTCATGCTGTGTTTGATCCAAGCAGGTCCCACAACAACCATAAGAATCAACTTTCTCATGGCTGGAATAAACCACAGATCACTGGACCCAACCTATTGTGTATATGCAATGGAAATCATCCTATAGGCCACTGTAAGCTCTCTTTATAAGAAAGAAAACAGCCTATGAAAATTGGGTTGCTAGCATGAGAGCTGGTTGTGAAGGGCAACACAGAGGGATGGCCTGAGGGTTTCTGGCACCCTGAGCAAATTATGACTTTGGTGCCCTCCATTCAACATTCATACACCTAACGAAACATCAACCAGCTCATTCTGTGGGCTGCAATCCAAAGCATGCTTACCTGGGAGTAAATCCCACTGATCATAGTGGAACTTACTTCTGAGTAGGCATGGTATTTATAGGAGAAACAATGGATCAGCTCCCTCTCTGCCCTCTTTATGCCCGCCCCCCCAGCTCTGGTGCCCTAGGTGATGACCTAGGTCAGAGGTGTCAAACATAAGGCCCAGGGGCCAAAACTGGCCCATCCAGGGCTATTATGTGGCCCACAAGCAACTGGTGCAAGGGAGGGAACAGGAGGCTGCTTGGGGGTGGGTGGGTGGAGCGAATCCAATTGTGGCTTCAGCACAGTGGGACAACCTCGTCTGCAGCAGTCAAGCAGAACCCTTTCAGTTCAGGGACTGATAAGCTGAGAGCCACTGCAGCTGCATTCATACCACTCCACTCAGCCTGCAGCTCCAGGGATGCTGTCCCTGATGGCCACAGGGATCAGTGTTTGCATGTTTGGGGGGGTTGCAGACAATCCTCTGTTGGGGCAGTGGAGCGTCTGCCCAGAGCTGCACTGCTGGCTCTCCATTTTGCCCATGTAGTTTTTCCTCTGTACCCCTCTCCCAGCCCATAGGGCCTTGCAGTGAGGACACGCCAACTCAGAGCTTACTAGTTGCTGTCCTTTATAAAGTTTGGTGTAGTGGTTAAGTGCGTGGACTCTAATCTGGGAGAACCAGGTTTGGTTCCCCACTCCTCTACTTGCAGCTGCTGGATGACCTTGGGCACGGGGCCGGCTCACCCGCTAGGTGAACTAGGCGCTCGCCTAGGGTGTGCGGGCCCTCAGGGGTGCCAAACTGCACCCCACCCCCTGCCAAAGCCCCCCACCATGGCGGCTGGCGAGTGAGAAGAGGTGGGAAGCGCTGGGAGGTTGTGCCCTCTGGCCCCGTGGCAGCTGAGCCCCCCTCCTGGCGAGAGAGAAAAGAAAGGCGGCGTGGATCGGGTCTCTGCCTGCCTGCCTGCCCCTCTCACGCGCTCTCTCTCTCTCTGTGGCAAGGGAGGGAAGCAGGGGAAGAAGGAAGGAAGGAAGGCAACGAGGAGGCAGAGGGCGCCATGGGGGCGCAGGGGCTAGGGGGGCTCCTCTTTCTCCTTCTCCTCGGCATGGCTCAGCGCAGCCCCGACAGCGGTGCCAGGTGCGGGAGCTGCTGCAGCAGCCACTCAGCGTGAGCTGGCGATCCGGGGCCCGCCGTGCCCGGCTGGCGCTCCAGTGGGCCAGCTGCCCTGGCGCGGCGAGGCTGCTGCTACCGCCGCTTCCTTCTCCTCCACTGCCGCAACTTGCCCGCAGCTCAATGGCCCCAGCAGCAAGCCGGCCGGACTCTGCTCTGGAGCGCCTGACGCCACTGCCGCTTGGCTCTGCTCAGCAGCAGCAGCCAGGGCTCTGGAGACGCTGCTGCCTCCGCCACGACGGCTCCTCGCACATGGCAGCCGGGTGCGCAATCCCCGACTGACCAAACAACCACCTGGCCGGCCAGCCGTGCCGCCGCCCGGGCAGCTCTGCCCCATCGTGTTGCTCGCTCCCGAGCCAGACCCGCCCTGCCCCTTCCCTGCCCCGGGAACCTTGCCGCCGCCCACTCCTCCGAGCTTGTGCAGAGTGCTGGCCACCAGGCCTCCCACCTGTCCCTCCCCCCCCGTCCACAGGTGGCACTCTGCACAGGCTCGCCATGGCTCGCGCACCCGGCCGGATCGCAGGAGGCGGCACCGCAGCTCACCCCCCCTCCCCCTGGGGGGGAGGAGGTGGCGGCAGCAAAAGGGTCTCCAGGCTCTACCGGGAGGTTTGCATCTGCGCCTCGCCTAGGGTGCAGACACACCTCGAGCCAGCCCTGCTTGGGCAAGCCATAGTTCTGATAAGAGCTGTCCTTGAGAAAGAGCAGTTTGTGTCAGAGTTCTCTCAGCCCCACCTACCTCAACATGGTGTTTGTTGTGGGGAGGGGAAGGGAAAGGAGTATGGAAGTTGCTCTGAGACTCCAAGTGAAGGGCGGGGTATAAATCCAATCTCTTCTTCTTCTTCTTTATATCTCGTACCCGGCACTGTGTTTTATGGCACACATGGCCCAACCCGACAAAGTGATCCGGCCCTCATAACAAATGAGTTTGACACCTCTAACCTAGGTGGAAAAGCTGTCACACTTTTAGGGAAGTACCTTAAGACTGAGCCCAGTTCTTTTATGCATCAGGCAACAGAGAATTGCCATTTCGGCCCTTGCCATTAGTTCGTCGTCTGGGTCTAATTGAGGCCGACACCCGAAACCAGAAACAAGGGACAGTTCATTACTGTCGGGTACTTGATCTGTAATAAACATAACACTGGAAGTTAAGCAAAAAGGCTAGTTACATGACTGAAAAAAATTTAACATTGGCGACAGCAATGAAAACACAACAAGACAATGGTTTGGATCCTGTGGGTCTATTCCAGCAGCAGAGGCACTTTCCTCTGGTGCAGGAGTTATCTCTGGATGCTCAGAAGAGCATGCGACTTCATGAAAAAAGGTCTTGCCACCCTCTGCTAGCAGAACAGATCCCTCAGTTACGCAACACACGTCTTGTGATGTCCTGCAGTTCACAAACAGCGCTTCAACAGCTTTTTTTATACTGTCAAAATTAATTGCTAAGCTTGACTTTGATGTTTCCCTCAGTGTGGGCTAACAGATTTAGAAGCACTTGTTCTGAAGGGGTCCGCCTCACAAGCTTGTTAATTAACTTCTGGCTGAAAGCGTAATCTATAGATTCTGGGAGGCTGCCCAAAATGTGTCCTTTGGCCCAAATTAAAGGAATGACTGCTCTTTGCAATGAAAAACTGTGCTTTTAATCTACATGTGGGGATTCCATCCAGCCAAGGGTACTTGAGAATTAATGAGAAGCAAAAGCAATAATGTTCTGAATCAAACAGAGGCTTAGAGATCTGGCCATTCACTTGCATTCATAGATCTATGTTCACACCAAGCCTTACATTTTACATGTCTTATTAGGGTTGCCAGATCAGGACTGGAAAATACCTGGAGATTGGGGGGGGGGGAGTCTAAAGAGGGCAGGGTTTGGAAAGGGGAAGGACTTCAGTGGGGTATAATGCCATAAAGTCTACCTTCCTAAACAGCTCTTTTTTCCAGATCGATATCTGTTGCCTGGAGATCAGTTGTAATAGCAGAAGATCTCCAGCCAACACCTGGAGATTGGCAACCCTACGTCTTACCTAAATCACAAAACCTATCCTTCCTATATATAAAAGCCATTTGGGGTGGCAACGTTCTATGTGCGCCAAAATCAGTTGGCAGCTGGAACTGCCACTCAGAATGCGCTGGCTGCGTTGCCTGGATCCGTTGCAGGGTCCCGACCACAGAGGGCCCTGCCAGCATCTCGCCCTCAGTCTACATGGAGACACCGGACAGGATAGATCCTCTGGCGGGCGCAGGCAACGAGACACGCATGTCGACGAGCTGGACCCTCCGCCGGCCGCAGGCAGCGATACACGCACGTCTTACCTTCCAATTCGCCCAATGGTGGCGGGGAGCCAGGAGAATGGGCCCAGCTGCCTCGCCGTGGCCTGCTGGCTCCCTCTGGCCCCAGCCCGAGCCCGCCTTGCCTGCGCCGCCTCCCCCGCCTTCCTCCCCAGACTCCGACCGCAGCCTCCTCATGCCTCCCTCCCGCAGACACCCAATCGTGCAAAGGCTGTGGAGAGCCAGGACCCGGGCAGAGGGAGGTGGAAGAGGGAGATGAGCCAAAAGCACTGCGGCCTGCCTTGCTGTGGCCTCCTCTCTGTTGCTGCCTCCGCTCAGCCTGGCCACAGCAGCAGCAGCATGAGGAGTGGGGCGGGAGGGTGAGGGGCGGCCAGTGCCAGTGCCGTGGCTGCCCCGGGGACAGCACATGCCACTCAGGGATGCCGGCCAGGTGGCGCTGAGGGGAGGGGAGAGGGTCATGGCCCCAAGGGGAGACACTCCAAAGAAAAGGGTCCAGGGGATGAGGGACGGACCATGTGAGGGGGGAGGAAACGGGGGGTCAGCCCCCTGTGTGCTTGGAGACGGCCCGGGCAGGGCATCCCCTTGCCATGGCACCCCTGGGGTCTGTGGAACGAGTACAAAGCCGAGGGCCGGGGGGGAGGGGAAATGCCCCCCCCCCCCGGCTGTCTAGAGCTTGTATTGTTGCTGCAATGGGTCTTGCTCCTAGTAAGTAATAAAGCTGTGTAGGGCATTCCCTGATCTCTGCTTTCAGACTGTATCTTGTTAGTCTCTGAAGCACTATTGAGTTAGAGTTGCCAGTTCTGGGTTGTGAAATTCCTGGAGATTTGGTGGGTGGAGCCAGGGGAGGGCGGGGTTTGAGGAAGGGAAAGACCTTAGTGGGATATAATGCCATACATTGTACCCTCCAAAGCAGACATTTTCTCCAGGGGAGCTCAGCTCTTTTACCTGAAGACCAGATGTAATTCCAGGAAATCTCCAGCCACCACCTGGAGCCTAATTTCCAATATACCTCTGCCTTGTCCAGTTTCTAAGAGCCAGTCTGGTGTAATGGTCAGGAGCGCGGACTCTAATCTTGGAGAACCGGGTATGATTCCCCACTCCTCCACATGCAGCTGCTGGCGTGACCTAGTTCCCTCAGAGCTGTTCTCTCACGAGCAGTCCTCAAAAGAGCTCTCTCAGCCCCACCTACCTCACAGGGTGTCTGTTGTGGGGAGAGGAAAGGAAGGAGACTGTAAGCTGCTCTGAGACTCCAGGGGCGAGGTATAAATCCAACTCTTCCTCTTCCTCCTCTTCTTCTTCTCCTGTTCTACTTTGCTGCTGCCCTCTGGAATTTTTTTCCTTCAGAGGAGTTGATCCATCCTCATGTCTTTGTGGGCTCAGATTTTGAGGGTTTTACATGGTTACCTGCAGGATGGGCTGGCCTATTCACCCCGAGATCAAGCGGACATATTTTTTAGTTATTTAGAAACTGGACAAGGCAGAGGTATATTGGAAATTAGGTTATCTGCTTGCTGGCAAAATGAATGCATAAAACATACAACTGCGTTATTTGCAGCGGCTGGAAAACGTATTCGGGTTTATAAATAAGAGGAATGTCAGAATGTAGTTCGAAAGTCAATTGTGAACGCTTACAGTTCCTTACTATTGTCTATTGGCAGCCTGTCATTTTAGATTTTATTTTTAAATTACTTTATTCAGATGGAAAAGAGCAAGAGTCCAGTAGCACCTTAAAGACTAACAAAATATGTGGCAGGGGGTGAATTTTCATGAGTCACTGCTCACTTCTTCAGATACCAAGAAGTGAGCAGGGACTCATGAAAGCTCATCTCCTGCCACATACTTTGTTCGTCTTTAAGGTGCTACAGGACTCTTGCTCTTTTCTACTGCTACGGACAAACATGGCGACCCATCTTGAACTTTATTCAGATGGGTACTTTGTTAGGGCTTTTAGATCCATTATAACAACTGATCGGCTTCTTCAAAATGGGAGGAATAAAAGCTGTTTCTACCTGTGTAAGTCACTTTCTTCTTTTTTCTTCTTTTCGATTCACCAGTGAGGAATGAACGTTTTTCTTTTGTGGCTTCGTCCAAGTTTTCAGCTTCCCCGGAAGCTCCTAATTGCTCCAGAAACTTTTCTAAAAAAATACCATGAGCAACATTAGAATGGATCCTGTCCATATACAAGAGAAACGTTCTCAGATACATTTTCTAGTCTAGGCTTTTCAAAGTACTGTATTTTCTGGTGTATAAGACTACTTTTTAACCCAGGGAAATCTTCTCAGAAATGGGGGGGGGGGTCGTCTTTTACGCCAGTAAATACAGTCTCTGGGAAAGTATATCCCAAACTCTATATTTTAACTGCAAAAGTTGGGGGTCGTCTTATACACCCAGTCGTCTTATACGCCGGAAAATACGGTAGCTGTTTTGACTCTGGGGTACACAATAGGGAATGTGTCACTCTGGTTTAATAATCTGCTGTGGAATGAATTGATTTACAGTTATCACACAAGAAAAGCAATGTAGCACTGAAGTCCCAAACAGAGTGTGACCCCCTTCTAAGGCCACAGAAGTCAATGGGCACAGAACCCCTGGTTTTTTGGCCTCCCCCCCCCCCGCCCATGAGAAGAAAGCACAGTCCAGAGTAGGTTGGAGAAAAATATATATATTAGCACCATCTGAGATATTATGTATTGGTTTCTAATTGTTTTTAAAATGCTTCTAATCGTTTTTTTTTAATGATGTACATTGCCTAGAGCCTTGTACTACAGGGATTAGGCAATTTAAAAAAATAATTTAATAAATAATAAATAATGATAAATAGAGGTGTAACCCTTGCTTACGATTTCACTATAAGTGTCTAACCTAAATAAAAATTTAACATTTACACTTTAGCGGTTTCTCTTTCACAGACCATACATAATGGTTATACCAAGCAATGAAAACACTGATTCATAATTAAACAGAACCCTTATATCTAAGGAGAGTACTCTTGTATTGTTTCTTAAATAAATGTGTAATATTTTTCACATTTTATAAAGCCGTACAAGACATATTGCCTATTTATTAATGAGCTGACTCTGCCTGTTGGTGGTATCATGCGGCACTTAAGTGCTAATTATAGACATAAAACACAAACTGTATTTTATTTCAAAACACTGATTTCTCCCTGTCTCCCAGGGTAGCATGGTTTAATCCTGGTTTAGAATCCCAGTTACTGGGAAAGAAAAAAAAATCCTCAGATTTGTTAAGTCACCCAAATATGTACTTCAAAACAAATTCGAGTTAGATCTAGTGTAGAAGAAGAAGAGGAGGAGGAGGAGGAGGTTGGATTTATACCCTAGCCTTCATTGCCCGAAGGAGTCTCAGAGTGGCTTACAATCTCCTTTCCCTTCCCCTCCCCCCAACAGACACCCTGTGAGGTAGGTGGGGCTGAGAGAACTCTCTCTCGAGAACTGCCCATGAGAGAACTGCTCTGAGAGAGCTATGACTGACCCAAGGTCACATCAGCAGCTGCATCTGGAGGTAGGGCTGCCAAGTGGGAATTTTGCCGCAGTGGGGGACTCCCGGCTGGCGGCTGGAGTGTGTGTGCATGCGCAAAGCACGCACGCACGCACCACATCCATGTCACCAGGAAGTGACATGACGACGCCGGGCATGCTGGGGGTGGGGCCACGACCATCCGAGAGAAAACCATAGTTTTCCCTCCGATGAACGTGGCGCCGCCCCCAGCATGCCCACGTGACGTGCACATCGGGGTGGAGTCCCCCCCGTGGCCCGATCCCCCGGCAGTGGGGAACGGGCCTCTGGGGCGGGGTTTTTCCTGCCCCCTGGGGGGACTTGGCAAGCCTATCTGGAGGAGTGGGGACTCAAACCCGGTCTTCCCAGATTAGAGTCCACACTCCTAACCACTACACTAAATTGGCTCTATAGTGTATTGATCAGAGCGGTGATCCCCTATATGACACCCATAGGTACCATGGTTCCCACCAGGGCTCTTTTTGGGCAGGAACGCACAGGAACGGAGTTCCAGCTGGCTCCCAGCAGGAACTCATTAACATAATAGGCCACACTCAACAGCAGAAACTCATTAGGATTGGCTACAATTAGGGGGGGTGGCCTAACATGCAAAGGAGTTCCTGCTCCAAACAAAAAGCCCTGGGTTTTGACAACAAACAAGGTAAAGAGAATAAGAAGCAAAAGGTGGGTGTGGTTGGATGACCACACTTCTGGTAACATGGGGGTGTGGCCTAATATGCAAATGAGCTGTGCTGTCAGGGGTGTGGCCTAATATGCTAATGAGTTCCTGCTGTTGGGTATGGCCTATTATGCTAATGAGTTCCTGCTGGGCTTTTTCTACAAAAAAAGCCCTGGTTCCCACCAATACCTTTCCTTATGCCTACTTGATTCTTTCCCAAAGCACCATGGTGCAGTGGTAAGAGTGACAGACTGAATCTGGGAGGTCCGGGTTCAAATCCTCACTTTGCTGTGAAAAATTGCAGGGTGACCTTGGGTCCATCACACACTCCCAGCCTACCCTACCTCACAGGGTTGTTGTGAGGATAAAGTGGAGCAGAGGAGAACAATGTTAGCTGCTTTGTGTCCCTGTGGGGGAGAAAGGTGGGATATAAATGAACCAAATAAATAAACCAAAGAAAAGTGGAGGAGAAGGTTTTCCAGAAAATCCTAGGAGGCATCACCTTTGGATCTGAAGAGAGCATGCTTTTGGAAATAGCTACCTTCATCACAGAACTCCCAACATTTTGCAGTAACCTCCAACTGCAGCCATTTTGGGTGGTGTTCAGTACTCTTTCTTAAACTTCATAAAGTGCCCAAGGTTGGGGACCCTGGGTCAGAGTACTGAACTAGGACTGTGGAGGCCCCAGGTTCAAATCCTCGCTCATCCATGAAGCTCCTTGGGTGAGACTGAGCCAATCTCTCATTATCTCTCTCATCTTAACCTACTGCACTGGGTTACTGAGATGATAAAATGGAGAATGGTTGAAGAAGGGAAGAGGAAGAAACCTAGTTTGTGCCAGACCCTGGTTTGTTCCGACCTCCGAATGCAACTCAATTCAGTGTCAGATTCCAAATTCTCATCAGCCCGAAGGTATAAAATGTGCATGTCTTTGAGGATGGTGTTAACTGAGGTGAAACAATTAAAAGAAGCAGAAGATTTGTTCGGATAAGTACAAGGCCTAAAAGCAGCCGAGACAACTGTCATGCACAATACCTGATACCAACTGTCGCTCAGGTTTTTTTGCCACACTGAATGGAAAATCTGCCATTGGTAACATTATAGTGTTGACTTCCTCTTGGCCACGCCTCAGTAACTCATACATCAGCTGAGTACTGCGCACTTCATAGTTAAAACGAGAAACGATTGGCTTTTTATGGACGGCTGACACACGTCGTGAAATGCGGGAGACCACTGCAGTATGACCTTTCAGGGTAAAATCTGACGGTAAAAACAGCCGGCGAAGCTTCAGCGTGGGTAGCTTTAATCGCAAAGGTATGCGCCGTTTTTGTAGCGGGAAACTAGGAGGCCCGCTCGACTGTGGAGGAATGATGAAATCTTTCTTAATACTGTCTAAAGGCAGATAGTCCAAAGCGCCTGATGGACCGTCAATGGAGTCTGGCAAAGAAAGAAGAATCTGATGGCTCTTCGTGGATATAGAATGTTCGACACCGGTGTGTCCGCTGTCTCTGGGCATTTCTTTGGGTTCTGTATCTTCTCCACGACCCCCTGGATGTACGGCAGAAGTCGTTAAGATGAGATACATGAAAAAAACAAAAGACAATTCAGTCTACCACTGGATGCTAACTCTTCATACACTGTACCCAACCACACACACTACAATTAACTTGAGCTTTCATGGATAATGTATCAACTTGCAATTTAAAAATATACATATATAACAAACTAATCACAAAAGATGCTCTGTAGCCATTCCAACTTAAGTAGAAATTAAGGTGGAGGAATAAGGAGGGGTTCATTGGTAGAAATGCATAGAAATTTACATAAAATTATGTTTTGAGGAATGATGTAAAGGAAAAGTGGGAAGGTATTTTGGACAGATAGGGTGGGAGAGATGTGCCTGAAAAGAGGAGTGTTGGTTTTGGAAAGGTGATAACGAGAATCTAGAAGAAAGAGGTTGAGATAAAGAAAGATGGGGTGGTGGAGGGACCAGGTGGGCATGCCAACTTTTAGGAGACAGCAAGATGGCAGAAAGGTAACCCAGACAAACCATTGTCCTGCATTTACCTCACCCCATCAGTACTATCTGTAGATATTATAGAATATTTAAGTACATGCAAAAAAATAACAACTACAATAATAATAATAAATTGATCAAACTGATTATAAAGAACATCACAATAGAGTTGCAGCTATGTTGCACTGGAATCTTTGCAAGCATTATGGCTTACTATCAGCCAGAAATTCATGGGAGCACAAACCAGACAAGATGATGGAGAATGATGAAACAAAGATGCTTTGGGACTTCTGACTGTAAACAGATAAACACCTGGAGCATAACACCCCTGTGTAAGCTATTAGTAATGGCAGCAAAATCTTCCATGAAGACTCTCAGAAAAGGCTGAACTCAGAACTGCTTTTACTAAGACACAGCATCCAGAAGGTAAAGCTAATGCAAACCACTGAACAACAGATTCAACATAACAAGCAACTAAGTGAAATACGACTGCAGCTTCACTTATTCACACATTCAAGTATATAACATCCTGATATCACAATTGTAAAAAAAATTAGAAATAGGGTTTGGAGCACTGACACTGAAGTCCCAGGAAATGGCAGAATAGAAAAGAAAGAACAGGAGAAGATCACCAAATACCAAGACCTACAAAAAGAGTTAGAGTGCCTCTGGGAGAAGAAGGTGACCATCAGTTGTCATTGGAGCCCTTGGAGCAGTGCCTAGAAGTCTCAAGAAACACCTGGACATTCTCGGCATTGAGCAAATAACACCAGCTTAGCTCCAGAAGACAGTGTTGCTTGGTATAGCAAGAATCCTGCAAAGATACATCTGCAATTCTGAAGAACTTGGCTAGATCTCGAATTGCAGAGCACCATCTACTAATCAAATATTTGACAGTGACAAATGATAATAATAATAATAATAATAATAATAATAATAATAATAATATGCCTTTAAGAACAGAATATCAACATAAAATATATTATATAGTCTATAGTACTTAGACTACAGTAAAACACAGAACGGAATGATGATAAATCTTTTAATAACCATGAATGTCAATCCATTACATAAGCAAATAGGTTTCCTATCTTCCACTTAACAGCTTGTGCTCTTCCAACCTTTGACCCACTGCCTTGAAGGTCAAACGTCAGAAGGGTGTTTGTCCACTAGCTTTAGGATGTATGAACTAGTACATAAGGGAACCTTCAGCTTTTGGGGGGAGCCAAGTTACTTTGCCCCCACCCCTGTGTCCTCCAAGAGCTTGCTCAGTAAGACAGAAAGGCCAAACAGAAAGCTGAACATACGGATTTATTTACTTATTTACTTACTTCCAATTTATACCCCGCCTTGCTGGTACAAACTGGCTCAAGGCGGCTTACATAAGTTAAAATACAATAAGATCAATAAATACCATAAAATTTATAATAAAACAATTGCATAAAGTGCTAGTACAAACAGTGCAAACAGATGGTGGCAGTTTCCTATACATGATCCAGTAAGAAAAGGCCATCCAACATTATAACAGGGCCGTGGCATGTTCGACTTACGATGGTACATTCATCAGTGGTGGCTCCTGATCGAAGGCCTGGTGGAAGAGCTCCATTTTACTGGCCTGGTGGAACTGTAAAAGGTCTCGCAGGGCCCTGATATCCTCCGGGAGCTCATTCCACCAGTGTGGAGATGCCACTGAAAAAGCCCTGGCCCTCGTTATGGCCAGTCTGGCGTCTTTTGGGCCAGGGAGAGTCAGGCGATTTTGCGACTGTTGTGTACTAACTATGGCCATGAACGCGGTCAGGTTCGCACGCGGCCATGTGAACCAGCCAAGCTTCGCTCACTCCAAACAATAGACAGTGAGGATCCAAGAACGGGCCTATTGGGCAGCTTGGATCCTAGTGTAAACCTATGGGGATGGGCACTATGTAAATAAAGCAATCATGGGTGTGTGTGGGTGTGTTGGGTGTGGCATAGAACGGACACTTAAGGAGGCCTCCGGCCTGGCTTGAGCATTCCAGTTTCTTCTGCCTTAATAAAGTTATCAGCTGATTTCACTATCTACGCGTCTGGACCCAGTACTTTACAGCGGCCCTGACCTCAGTGCTCTCTGGGGCACATATGGGGAAAGGTGGTCCCTCAGGTAGGCAGGCCCCCGACCATATAGGGCTTTAAAGGTCAAAACCAGCACCTTGAAACAAATCCGGTATGCCTGGATGTGGTCCCGTATTGAGAGACCCATCAACAGCCTGGCCGCCACATTTTGCACCAGCTGCAGCTTCTGGATTTGAGACAAGGGCAGCTCCATGTAGAGAGCATTGCAGTAGTCTAATCTCAAGGTGACCACTGCATGGATCCCTGTTGCCAGGTCACTGCATTCAAGGAACAGAACCAACTGCCTAATCAGCCATAGATGGTAAAAGGCTGACTTGGCAGTGCCTGCTACCTGGGCCTCCATTGTTAAGGAGACATCCAGGATCACTCCCAAACGCCTGACCCCCAGCGCTGGCACCAAAGGCGCCCCATCGAAGGTCGGTAGTGGGATCCCCACTCCTGAGCCGCTCTGGATTCAATTTCAATTGGCTCAGTCTAAGCCAGCCCGCCACATCCTAAAGCACCCGCTCCAGGTCATCTGGGGTAGAGTCGGACTGACTGCCCAACAACAGATATAGCTGGGTGTCATCTGCATATTGATGGCACCCTAGCCTATCCCTCCGGGCAATCTAGGTGAGGGGGTGCACGTAGATGTTAAATAACATCAGGGATAACACCGTCCCTTGAGGGACCCCGCACACCAGCGGGTACCTCTTGGACGTCTATTCCCCTACCGCCACACTCTGTCCCCGACCTTGGAGAAAGGAGACGAGCCATTGTAAGGCAAGCCCCTGAATCCCATTGTTGGTGAGGTGTACCGTTGAGAGCAATCTGTCGACCTCCTTAAGGCTGAGTGGACTGAAATAATCCAGAATAGAACTAGAAGATGTGCATGGGGCCTCGAGTTTGCTCACTGTCTCAACTGTGGCGGGGAGATCGTGGCAGGGCAGCAAGACTTTATCTGCAAAGTAGCTCGCAAAAGCCTCACAGCCGATATCCAATTCCTTCACATTTGGTCTGCCCTGAGGCAGCTCTGTTAATGACCGAATAGTTCTAAACAATCGTGCTGGGCGTGAGCTAGCAGATGCAATCGTGGCTGCATAGAACTCTCTCTTCGCAGCTTTGGCTGCCATCTCATAGGATCTCATAAATGTCCTATAGGATGCTCTTGTTGCTTCGTTGTGAGCACGCCGCCACCGTCTCTCTAGTAATTTGAGCTCTTGTTTCATCAGCCACAGCTCCTCGGTGAATCAAGGAGCCCGCTTACAGTGAGGGCCCAGAGGGCGTCGGGGAGCGATCTCGTAGATGGCAGTCGAGAGTCGGCCATGCCAGTTCTCGACTAACTCATCTAATGAGCCGCCAGAGGGCATAGGATCCCGTAGGGCCATCTGAGGCCACTGAGGGGCCATTTGGCTCCGCGGGCGAGCTAAAATGTGCTCGCCGCCCAAACAGGGTTGGGGTGCCACATTCACACGGGCCTTCAGGGCATGGTGGTCTGACCATGGAATTGCCATAGCAGTAATCCGGTCCACTGTAACCACCCACTGCGATCAAATCAAGTGTGTGACTGGCTCTGTGCATGAGGGCTGTTACATCTTGGGAGAGTCCCAGTGCCACCATGGATGACACCAAGTCCACCGCCATTGGAGAAACCGCATCATCGGCATGGACACTGAAGTCACCCAGGACAATCAGTCTAGGGAACTCCAATGCCCAGCCAGACATGGCCTCAACCAGGGATGACAGGCTATCGGCCAGTGCATTGGGCGGTTGGTATGGTAACCAAACAGCCAAGCTCTCCCCAGCTTCCCACATTGGGCGGTTGGTACACTAACCAAACAGCCAAGCTCTCCCCAGCTTCCCACAGAAAGCCAGCACACTCTATGCCTGGGAGCCTCAACAGCGGGAGCACCCTGAAAGAGTAAGCCTCCCGTATGAACAGAGCCACTCCCCCCCCCGCCACGTAGTCCGTGACTGGTGGAGGACGGAGAACCCAGGTAGAGCCAGTTGGGAGAGCGCTACGGTCTCCCCTTCTCGTACCCAGGTCTCCATCATGCACGTCAGGTCCACATTTTGTTCCAAGAGAAAGTCCTGCAGGACCACGGTCTTATTGTTTCTGGACCTGGCATTGCACAGCACCAGTGATGGAGAGGGGTCATTTCTCCTAGCCCCACTGACTGCCACCTTTGGGATGAGGTGCAGGCTGGAAGGTGGCTGAGTTTCTCTGTTTCTCTGTCCCCTTTCCTTCATTTTCTGCCTGGCCCCACCGCTATACTTTTCCCTCCCCGTGAGCACTGGGATACCCTGACCCGTCATCGCCATTTTGATGGTCTTCGTAAAACCACAGACTGATTTATGGCTGTTGATGCTTGGGTACCATGAGGGAGTGCTGCGATTAGAGCAGAATGAAA